TGAGTTATATAATATAAGTAATATTTAAGCCTTGATTTGTTACAGTTAAAGTGTGGTCATTATTTGGGTACTGCGAGAGTGCGCGAGCCTTATCATATCGTGATTAAAATTACATACATTTAATTAAAATGGTACGTGTTATATTATAACTAACATAATATTATATAATAATGTAGTAGTATGGCTATTAATATAGTAACGAAACACCTGTGTCCGATTCACAACCGAACCCGAGACCTTTACTCTTTTTTGCTCGGCTATCGTTCTTTGTAATCAGTGGAACATGGCAGTTTAATCAGGCCAGTGTGATTAATCGAGATTTTGGAAAAACCCATAATTGGCAATGACTGCGAATATTGTCGTCTGGCTACAGGTTAAATAAACATTTAGGGGGTGCCAAGCGTAAAAAAATTAAAGAACGAAGTGATCCGACAGAGAACCGACGTAGCCCAAAGGATCAGTAAGCTGAAATGTCAGTGGGCCGGTCACATTTGTCGAAGAACCGATAACCGTTGGGGTAAACGTGTTCTAGAGTGTGTACGCAGTGTAGGGAGTCCTCCAGCTAGGTGTAGTGACAACATTCTCAAGGTGGCTGGCAGTGTTTAGATGAGAAGAGCTGAAGACAGAGCTCAGTGGCGTGCTATTGGAGAGGCCTATGTCCAGCAGTGGACGAATACGGGCTGATGATGATAAATCGTAAAAAAAGTACAGGGCTGGACTTGGATCAGAGGGGTCGACAATACATCCAGTATGAAACAAAGCCTTTTCTCTTAAGAGGGTTTTGCCATAATTCCCACGTTTAATAGGTGATTTATAGATTGTAGTAAGGTCACTGAAAATTCTGAAGATCCTGCTACGCAACAAAAGGTTTTATCAGATTTCCCATCATTTTGTCCTGTTGTACAAGTTTATGCAAGTAATGGTCAGCCTGATATCTATACTAATATTATAAAGCTGAAGTTTGCTTTTTTTTGTTTGTTTGTTTGAACGCGATAATCTCCGAAACTACTGGTTCGATTTGAAAAATTATTTCTGTGTTGGATAGCCCGTTTATCGAGGAAGGCTATAGGCTATAAAATATCACGCTACGATTAATAAGCGCCGAGCAGAGCGAGTGAAACCGCGCAGAAGTAGCTAGTAATATAATATGTAGTTATTTTGAGCTGGTATGTTGTAAAAAATAACTGTAGTTATATTCCAAAGGTCCATGATGAATTGTCTGAGAATCAATCACTATCACTCAATCCGTATCGAAGTATCGAACTTACGTAAGTAGATAGAACAGATTACCTATCTGTAACAGTTCGTCTAACTTCGTTCAAGATGACTCATAGCTCTTTGTTATTAATAGGCTCATGTTCTTCAAGCTTGTAAAGTTAGAATAAGTAGTACCTAAGTAGTACCTTGCTAATTGTTTTTATTTTAAAGATTGAAAGAGCAACTGTCGGTAGTAAAATGGGCTCTGGATTTGGTCTTTCGGTTGGAGATATTAAGTATTAGAAATATTTTATTTTTAACCGATTTCAAAAAAAGACGGTGGTTCTCAGTTTAACCCGTATGTATGAATGTATGTGTGTGCGCAATTATCTCGCGATTGGCTGACTCGATTTTGATGCAGTTTCCAGAAAAGTGTTAATTACACTTAAGAGAAGATTTTAGTATATTAATAAACCGACCCTTAAAAAGGGGAGTTGAAAACTAGGAAGGTTATAAAAGAATTGTAAATAAGAAAAATCATTAGATTTTCTATTTCAAAAAGGCATGCAAATTATGAAATATTATCTTGAGACGTTTCTTTTTTTTTGGTGGGGAATAAAAAATAGATTTAATTTATATGTAACGATTTATCTTTAATTAGTTCAAGTAAATATATAATAGAATAGAAACAAGGTAAATAAAAAAGGAATAAAACTGATGATGACAAGGTAAAATTCATTGTTTCGTTATCTATTTATTAATTTTTTTGCAGTATATTTAGCTGAATAAATATTTATTTTTCCTCATAACCATTAGTTTTTATCTTGTGGTTTATATTATTATATAAACTATTTTAGATTTAATCAACTGACGCTGAAATATTCAAACGCTACTCAATTATAAGTCGGGCTTATGTACCTCTATAGTTCTGTCGCTACAAGTTTTTTGGAAAATGACACGATATAGAGATAGAGATGGCACGATATTTAAGTACAACTTAAACTTTAGTAGCCTTTCAGAGGCCTTAGTACGAGTTTTCTTTACGTTAAAAGTAATCAAAACGAGTAAGCGTTCGGCGCTCTGATTGGCCGGCTCCAATGAACCAACGAATCAGAGCGCCGAATGCAGTAAAACAAACTGATACTAATGCCTCAGAGTGCCGAACGTATACTCGTTTTAAATACTTTATACGTAAATGAAACTCGTACTAAGACCTCAGTATTATATGTGAACATGTACACCCGTGACACAGGAGAAAATCCAAGTATGGGGTAATGTTATTTTTATAAAAAAGGAGCCTATGCGGAGTAATACAGGTACTTACTTGGACTACGATTTTTAAAATATTAAGTTATTAACTGTGTAAATACACATTCCTACAGATATTTATCTTCGATGTTCATCAAGAAACTAACGCGTGTATAATGAGGTGGGTACGACGCATAACTTGACAAAAGTTACCGGTTTTCATAATTTATTCTGCCTACTAAAGCAAACGTGTGTTACGCAATATTAGTTAATAGGAATTTTATTCTAAATCTGAATATTATAATCAATAATGTTTTACGTAACATTCATTTAAATATTGTATTTGAATTGACAGAAGAGGTTTTTTCTTTAGCTAAAATGGTGTCTAGGTAGGTATTGAAATACTACATATTGTGTAGTCAAACTCGTCATAAAAATATGTACGTACTAGTAGTAAAAATCCTGAGATTTGGTTGTCTATTTTGGTATTAAAAAAAATTAGTCCCTGCTTCAGTGATAAACCTACTTAGACAAATTTCTCGAAATAGTTATAGACATGCAAAATGCAAGTATAAAACAAACGCTAAGGAGCATCACAGTTTTTAATAAAAAAGTAGTAAACAAATTACGATGTTCAAATCATTTGTATCACAAAATAATTTTTCATTAAAAGTATAATAATTATTCATTGAATTTGCATTTACAATACAGGCCACATTTAAATTTGCAATGTTACCACAAAATAAAAACAAAGGTTAGATGAGTAGGAAATATAATTCTATTTGATGACCAACCTTGACATCATTTTAAGTGTCTCTAACTTTTTACATCCGTTGATTTAATGATTTGTTTTGAATATAAATAATTATGGACGCAATGTTGCATATGATTTAATTTCTAGCACATTCTGAAAGGTTAGCAACTGCCTATTTGATGACTCGTGTTGGCCCCGTTCAAATAATATCCTACAGAGGTTTCGCCAACATTATTTTATTAATAAAGTAATTCAAGCTATAATGACGATTCGTTATTATTACTGCGTTTATTAATCGCTGTGTATTTTCCGAAACGAAGTAACAGTCTTATTTTTTTTTAAATGTTAAGTAAAATTGCGGGTGACTCACGTGAATATACTGAGAAAAGCTCTACTAGTTTCGAACCACAGAGGGGTTCTTCCTCATGAGCAGCGTGCGCGGTCGCGGCGACGTCGCGCAGCTCACTGACGATAGTTATTATAAAAACATATTTAAAATGTATAGAAAAATAATCGGTTTAATATTTTAATAAGATCAACTTTTAATATAAATAACGCAGTATTTTTTATAATAGCTCAGGGTATTGGTTTCCTATTGAGAACTCTATACAAACAATTCTAATGACAATTAGTACCTACTCATGGATAAAAAAAGAACAATAGTTATACCATTAATAAAAAATGTAGATCTACGCCCTCTGTTGTAATATTCCTCAATATGTAATTTTAGTCGGTAAATACAATAGTCTGTGTTGTTGTCCTGATACAAATTCAAACAAAAGCTAGTCACGCAAAGCGATCATTCGGATGGATTTTATAGCACGTAACACGACATGTCGTTTACCTGTCTATGAACCGAGCATGTTTTTTAAAACACATCCATTACAAATTATAAATAAAATAACCGAAATTTTGTATGTATCGATTTTTTGCATTTGAATACGTCCCTGCCCTTAAAAATAAAATCCTTATAAAATCGTTCTTTGTTTGTGTCAAATGGAATATAAATACATATGTTTGTAAATCGTGATTTCTCATTTGTTATTAGCATAATATTAATTGCTATTTATGATAGTTAGGTAAGTAGTTCATTACTTAGTAAGCACATGTGTGAACTGTGAATGTAAACAATGATTGCAGATCTTCCAAATTCAAATCTGTTTTAAAGATAATAAACAATATCTCTTATTTTTTTTAATTAAATTTACATGTTGCCAGGATTGTGTCTATTAAAATAGAAAGTTAATTTTGCCATTGTCATGTTACCTCATTGTTGTATGGTTTCTTAATTTGATAAACAAGTGTGTCATATTTGTGCTGTAACAGAATGTGTGGGTGTTTGAATGCCTGCTCCCATGTATCCTCTGTCATCAGAAATTAATTCACAATGTCCTTGTAACCCATACGTCTCTACACAGGTTGATTAAGTATTATTTATTTCAACACATCCCACATGTCATCCTTGCAGAATATTATTTCACTTGTTATCCTGAACAACTTTCTCAACGAAACCCACGATAATCGATTCTTCAAAAAAGTAAGTAGTCTGCATTGATAGCCACCATAACTTATTTTTTTATGGATTTGTTTTAATATCTCGTAAATTATCATGAAACTAAATTAAAAAGAAGGTTGTTTTTGATACTCTTATCAGGTGCTGCTTTTAAGACTTCAGGTTGTACCTAAACAAATGATTTTAATAACACTTATCTGTGTGAGAACGATTTGTCGCCAATTCATCAAATGAAAGACTAAGTTTATCATAAATCACGTTCTGGGTGCATAAATAATGTGTACTTACTGCTCATTCGGCTCACAAATAAATTTGTGTCCATATTATTTAATATTTATGTAATACTGTCTGTCGTCACGTGCGCTTTCACGTAAAACATCAAATAAATACTGTATCGTCTTTAATTTCACTATCATAACTAAACAAAGTATTGAAACTTTTGATCATGAATGAAACTGGCGTTATAAAATAATTAAAAGCACAAGTAATTACAATTTGTTTATAAATAAAGGCTTCACTGTCGATATCAGTCGGTTGCGCAGTGCTCACAAATGTCAGACGAGCGGCGCGGACCGACAGCCGGCAAATTACGACCGCGCACCACAGAAGGCGCGGCGACACTGGCGACGTATCGACCTCCCGCCATCACAATGAATGGTGAGCCAGCACACCGCAGTCTGCCGCTGCAAGCTCACTACTGCACTGCAGCTTTATTTCTGGCAACCACCCCGATACTTAGCGCTATGGAAACATACAATTTCCTTTGCAAAAATGTGCCAACAACACGTCGCTGACATGCGAAATTCCGAGCCAGTGACCCGCTTCTGTAGACCGTGTTTAAGAATTCTGCGGTTACATTCATCAACCGCTTTTACATTTCTCTAGAATATTTTGTTATAAATTCTGAGAGATTGTCACTACGCATGCGTGAGTCAGAGGGCTGCCGTCTGCCGTAACTCGTTTGTATCAGCTGATTAAATGACCTTGTTCCCACATTTTGGTCGAGTTCTTTATTAGTTATCTCACTGATTTAATATGTAATTATTTCCTTACTTACATTGTGGTGCCCATATCCTGATATTATCTTTGGTTAAAATGTAAGAACTCAGAACAATGCTGAGAGTTGGTGACCTTTGAGAATTTACTCATGAAGGCATAATGAGAAACCTTTCAAGGTTGTCGTGTTAGGTCGCGCTGATCCCACGACTGACTGGGCGGATAAAAGGAACGATATTATCAATTCTTTACCTGTAGTACAAATAGTTGAGAAAGTTTGATAAGTACTATATTCATTCATATATTACCGTATAGACTAGCTTTCTTGCTAGACTTGATGAGGTTCACTACCATGCCCCCAGATGAGGGATCGACTATTGTTACTTAATCTCATATTCTTTTTACCTCAAGTTAGAAAATCTTCATGGGACCTCCTTGGCCAGGATTGGGAAAACAAAAGAGCACTGTCATCGAATCTTACTGACCCTTTTTTTTTTTTTTTTTTTTTAAGGGGGGAAAATCATCGAATGACTGCCCCCGCCTGGGTGAGGCGGGAGGGAGTGTCAGACTCTTACTGACTAAAAACCACCCCGTTCCTTCTCCTGCACGTCGAGCCGGAGCCCCGGTTACCCGTTAGGTTCTCCGCGACTCCGAATCGGCATCGGCCCTATTGGACCCCATCTGTGGTGGTCTGATGGCTCTTTGAGGCGCGCGCGGAACGCGACGCGCCGTACGCTCGGGTCTGTTTCTGGTCGGACGGGGAGCCACCCATGTTCGCCGTCCGCAGGCCCGCGCTTACGGTGGCCGGAGATCGTCCCGCGATCCCCGACGCCCGGTGTGTCCTTCGCGATGGCTGGGTTGCGAGGAGGCAGCGCTTCGCTGCCTCACGCGTCCCGCCTCCTCCTTAGCTAGCATGACTGCTTCGCAAAAGGAGGAGACGGCATCCCAATCCCCCTCGCTCCGCATCATGGCCTGCACTAGGCCCGGACGCGAGAGGTCGCCATCGCCGATCACTTCCCTGAGGACACGGCGGTGCTCAGCCCACGAAGGGCATTCTCCCACCGTGCTGACCCTACCTTCAATCTATAAAACTAATGATTGAGAAAAATTATGTTATTCCATAAGTTACTTGTGGTTCGTCAAAGTCACCATCTAAACTTTGTTTCTAAGTTCATTGCATAGGTATTAACTTTTAAGTTTTTGAGCAACGATAACTGAACCAAATTGTACATTCTATTCCAAAGAAGTTCAACTTGGAACTAATTTAAACTTAACTTAAATTTCTTATGTATATCCAATCCTTTTTTCTGAAATTCTGTAAAGTCAGCTTGCACTTGAAAGGCTACCGCGTCAATGTTCGCGAACCGCGGTCATTGACCTGATATACTGCATTAACTAATTACCTACCGGTTTCCCTGAAATACTTTAAATTCATTCTTTGTATCAAAAATGTTTTTTTTTATCTTAGTAAGTCTTCTTGGGATTCATCGGAAGAAAGGAAAATTGAGCATAAGGCTGATTTGATTTCCTCGGCAGCGGTACTCGTGAGCCTTTTGACCACAGGCTGGTTTTTAGTCAATAAAAGTCTGACATGAGGTGAGAGGGATCTCGTCTTACCCAAGGCGGGAAAAGTTATTGGATGATCCCCCCTCCCCCTCAAAAACTGACCAATAGTTGCACCTTGCGGTCTGTGCCAGTATAGAAGAAGAAATTGACCTATCCTCATTCTGCTTTCCAAAATCTAGATTCAAACTATTCCAACTTTCTTGTACCAATAAATAGATTGATCGCAGCACCAATCAAAGACTGGAATTTATGTAAGGAACATTATTACCAACCAACAATAAATCTAATCAAATCATTGTATTCTTTAATAAAAGAAACAGCTTGCAAGCTAGTCATAAATCCAGCCTGTGACATTAATATCACATACCGAGGTATTGCACATCTCAAGCTTCATTCAATTAACTTTATAAGCCATGGACTCTTTGCTCACGTCGGTATTAAAGTGCTAATACATTGCTTCTTTAAGCTTAGCACACGCAGGAATGTTAATAGTAAATAGTCGATGAATATCAAACTCCCTAGCTAACAGTTGGTGTCAGCTAGTACGTGATTGCACTCTCAATGTAAACGCGGCACAATCTGATCATTCCTTTGCTTATGAGTGTCGATGCTTCCTGTTATTGATGAATGAATCGATAAATAAATCGATATAGTTATTGATTAATCGGTTGTAAATTCGAATAGGTTCAAATTGAATTCGAATGATGTACTGTGAACCATTTATGTTGTTGTTTATGATCGAAATCCCAGCGTGGTTATTATAATGGGCATTGATTTCGTGTGATACGGAAGCTAAATAACCATTGTTAAACCTCATGATTCATTTTAAAACCATGCTTTTTATTGAGTACGTAGGATGTCTAAGGCTCTCCGTAGAAACAACAAACTGTCCATAATAATTGTCCTTTTGCTCCTTCTAATGGACAGCAATTTTTAACAGTTTGTACCTGATAGGGGCAAAGCCACTGCCACCTTAGAAATAATTATACCTATGTGCCTTTAGGAGTCACTTAAGGCGCCAGTAGAATACCAGCGCAAGGCCCAGTCTTGCACATACTGAACTGGTCCCATATCACCGCAGACTTGGGACATTAGTAGATATTTATAAACTTATGTATAAAATCTGTATGTGTCACCTGTATTTGCGTGTGAAATAAAGATTTTTCTTTCTTTCTTTCTTTTTTTCCTATTTCTTCATTACTTCTTTATATCACCATTTCTTCTTCAGTCAAAAACTTTCATTTTAAGAAGACCATCTAATCCTGTAAAGTCTTCCTTTCCTCTTAATTTTAATGTGGCTGATCATTTCCAAATCTTATTAAGCATCTGCTTACGCTCAAATAAAAATATAATTGGTTCCAAACTTCCAAGGGCATCCATCTTACCTTTTAATTTATTTGACGATGAAATATGAGAAACATTTTTATATTCACAATGGTTATAGTTCGAGCTATTAATGATTAGTGTTGAAAGAATGGAAGAAAACTCTCTGATACTTCTGACACAATAAACAAAGGGATGAATTAGTAGCTACTCCACTTATTTATAATCCAAATACCTTGTCGTCCCGGTGTTTCGTATTCAGTAACACATCAACACTCGTGTTATTTTTTTTTTAATCGAAAATGTTTGTAAAAGCAGACGGATCACCTGATGGTAAGCAATCGCCGCCGGCCATGGACACCCGAAACCCCAGGGGTATTACAAGTGCGTTACCGACCTTTTAGGGATTGGGAATTTGAGGTTTGTTGGGGATTCGGGGATTGGGGAGTGGGGGTAATTGAGCCTACGGTAACCTCATGATGATGGCCATTTTGGTCGAAGTAGTCATGTCCAATGAAAATGTTTCTATGTAGCGATGAATAGACCATTTCAGGGTCACTAAAACTTGGACTATGAAGGCAGTATGGCAGCATAGTAATAATACAGGCATTCATATTTTTAAAACTACACCAATTATATACGACAAAGGATTTTTCAGTAGAGCCTTTTATAGTTTTCTATTCACAGTCGTTATTCAAAAATAGTTTACCCATTAGTCAGTTAATTGCTTCCCTCGTTAGTCAAATAACAAAACATTTACTATTGTTAGAGTCTAACAATATAAAATTCATGTGTGTAAGTTATTAAGTGATTTACATAGAATTTATTTTTAGACGTGTAATTGTATAACTGAGCCGTGAGTTAGGAATTTGATATATCGGCACTTAAACCAATTTACTTGCTCATTATTTGTAAGTGGAGCGATTTGAATATGAACTCTTGGTTTGAATACTTACATAACATAACTTTACGCCTTTTATCCTCGAAGGGGTAAACAATGAGGTGCACATTACCTACGGCCCTTAATGCCACTGTACAATGTAACACCCACTTTTCACTACTTATGTTATGAATCCCGTGTAATAGGGGGAGCCTATTGCCATATACCGGGTACGTTTCTAGACTCCGTGCTACTAACTACTACTGAGATTTTTTTTAAAAACCCAGTCGTACTTTGTCCGATTTAGGACTCGAACCCGAGACCCCTTACTCGGCAGTCGCACTTGCGACTACTCGGGCAACGAGGCAGTCTGTCTCAATTGAATACTTATACCTTTATTTTTTTAAATCATTTTATATGTGACGTAGTCTGTCTCAATTGAATACTTATATCTTTATTTTTTTAAATCATTTTATATGTGACGCACCGAAATAAATAAGAAGGTTATAAGTACCTTAGGAACTTCAAGATGACTATGACTGCGATGCTACGGCGGTAGAATTTAGATTTGTTTGAAGAAGAGCCTTCTATATAACTTCTTTGCAACTGAGAGTCCAATTTATGTGCCCCGAAAACAGGAAAAATCTTAAGTTGGCAATACACCAATAAAAGTTACCCCGCTTTGTCCCATGAGGGAAGACAGAGACTAACTAAAGGATACTACTAACTATGATCCCTCATTCTCTTATAGAAATAGTGTTAGATGGTTTCTTGTTCCACAATTAAGGATTACTGACTCTTCAACCTGATTATGTTGATGATGTAATAGTATTTAAGAATGATGTGACTCATTTTGTGAGCAGGTGTTAAAAGAATCTTCCTTTAATAGACAGATGAGATTCTTTAAAGTTTTTTAGATATGGCCGGTTTAATCTGTTACGTTGGTAACATGTCGGTAAAGGTAATAAATTATTAAGCCTACGCTAATAATATTATAAGGAATGCGTTTATGTAGAGTGCAAAAGAATAGGTAGTATATTACCTAAACTATACCTGGTACATTACCTATATACCGAATTATAGTTCGCAAAATCATCTTAAACCTAATATTCCTCAGTAGTAGCACGGAGTCTGAAATTGTGCCCGGTATATGGCAGTAGGCTCACCCCCTATTACATGGGACTCATAACATAAATAGTGAAAAAGTGGATGTTACATTGTACTGTGGC